GCGCCCGGCTCGTGGGCGCTGCTGCTGCCGCCCGCCGCGCCGGGCGGCGAGGAGGAGGCCCGGCGCCTGCACCTCGGCCGGCCCGACCTGGCGCGCCTAGTCAGCAACTGGCTGGCGGCCCTGCGGCAGCTGCCCGCGTCGAGCGCCGCTGACGTCAGCAGGGAAGGCCGCGGCGGCCCACTGCAGGTCGGGTGCTACGCCATGGGTCCCAGCGGGCTGCTGTCGCAGGCCCAGCTGCTGTGCCATGACCTGAACAGCGGCCGCGGCGGCAGCAAGGGCGCGGCAGGGTGGGCGGCGGCCAAGGGGCCGGGCGGCGGCGGCGGCGGCCGGGGCAGGGGTGTCTTCATGCGCTATGTCTGCAGGACCCACAACCTCTGATCTGAAGTTCTGCAGTCGGTCGACGCTGCACACGAGTTTTCTGCGGGGTCTGTCCCCTCTGCGCCGCGCGCACACCGCCGCCGGCTCAGAAGAGTCGGCAGGCGCGGTGTAGCGCGCTGGCTGCCTGCAGCCGGCTGCCCGCGGCCAGCCGGGCTGCCAGGTCTGTGTTCCCTCAGACCTCTCGCCCCCACCTCCCTTACCCCGCCTGCTTGCGAGCGGGCACCCTGCATGCGAGCAGCGGCTGGCCGGTCATTGTTGTGGTTGCTGCCGGGTGGAAGGCTGGCGGCCCGCGCGATTCCCTGCTCTGAGCGCACACGGGCCGTCGCGGCCGCCCGCGGCAACGAGTCGCAGGCCGCACTGCACATCTGCGCGTACAGCGCAGCCCCGTTCCTTAATGCACCTCACCATGCTGAATGTACACGTCCTGCTGATTGTACACGTCACTCCCCAAGGGATGCACAGGTTACTCACTCTGCCTGCTGTCCCTGCCTCGCACGGCGTAGCTGCACCTCCAGCAGCTGGCTTGCATCGGACACATTGGTTGTTGCATAGCCCGACAGTGTCGCAGGAGACCCGTTGTATCTGTCAGCTGCATCGCATCTGTAACCTCACATCAAGGCCATTTGAGGCCAGGTGATATTCTGAAAGCTGCCTGGGAGCTGACGGCCTGGCAGCTGCCCGTGCATGGCTGACAAGTGCCGCTGTTCCTATTGCCAGCCACCGCTCGCGTGGATGTGTGTCCTAAGGCATCAGCTCAGCACTGAATATTTCCCACCAGTGCCCATCCATTCCAGCAGGTGACTTTGAACAACCAAACACAGGGTTGGTTTGCACAGAGCGCCAAGATTTGTGAAAAGATGATGCACCAATGCACAGTGGTTGCGTGGCAAGGGAGGGGGTTCAGTATGAAAGGCTGCCAGTCTAGGCGCCCGGCCGCGGCCTCCGCAGATGTAGAGGCGTGGAGGGTGTCCCATAATCACTTTCTGTCCCAGGCACACCAGAGCTGGCAGGCGCCTCGGCCCTGCCCACCTGCTCCTGCCGGCGCGTCCGCCCTGGCGTGGGCGCCCGCTGTTGCTGCCGCTCAGGGCCCTGCTGCTGCTGCTGCTGCTGCTGCTGCTGCTGCTGCTGCTGCTGCCGCCGCTCCGTGGCTTCATCGCCCCCTGGCCGCCGCCGCTGCCGCCACTGGCTGAATTGCCACCCGGAGAGCGCCCCGACCAGCACCGCCGCCGCGGCGCACCAGGCCACCTTGACCGCCCTGGGCCAGGGCTGCGTGTACAGCCCCGCCCCAAACTTCACGGACAGCATCGTCTCCAGCGCCGTCATCTGCGCGGCGTGAAGTTCACGGCGCGAACGCCCAGAGGACGTGTGCGGTGCACAATCCACGACTTCCTTGAGCCTTGCTGCCGTGCTTGCCGGCAAAGCATGCGCACCGCCCAAAACTGTGCAGAGTGGATCCGCGTGGCCACCATGGAGAAGGGTCCGGCGCATGCGATTTGGGGAGCGGCGAGGCGAGGCAAGGGCAGCAGCACGCCGGGGACGGAGCGGAGCTTCCCCGCAGCTTCTCACCGCGATGGCGAGCCACGCGAAGGTCCCGAGCTTGCTGAACCGCCAGGCGCCGTAGGCGGGGGCGTCGCCGCTGCGGCCCTCAATGAACTCCCAATACTCGCGCGCGCCAGGCAGGGCGCAGAGAAACCTTTGGCGGGATTTGGGGGTCGGTGTGTGGGTTCAGGGGTGTGCGTTTGACTGTTTGAGTGTGTGTGTGAGTGTGTGTGTGGGTTCAGGGGTGTACGTGTGTGACTGTTTGAGAGAGTGTGTGTGTTTGAGTGTGTATAGGTGTGTGAGTGCGTGTGTGTGTTTGTATGGATGGGTGTGTGCGTGTGCATGTGTGTGCGTGCGTCTGTGCGTGCGCGCGCGTGTGTGTGTGTGTGTGTTAAGAGGGAGGGGGAATTACATGTACATGGGCAGGGCGGCTCCATTCTGTCACTCTGGTCAAAACCCCCCGCCACAGGTCAGGTCCCCGTGAAGGAATGTAACGCTGCAGTTGACACCACCACGCGGCCGAGGCCCGTCCGAACAGCTCGCCTCGCGCGGCCCTCGAGCGGAGCGGCCCTGCAGCCCCGCCGCACGACACGACACGGCACGGGAAGCCCGCGGCTGCGCCGCTCGGCGGTCCCCCCACCCCGCACCCGCCACGCCCCGCCGCGCCGCGTCCCACCGCCTCCCGCCGTTGCCCGCCCGACAAGCGCGCGGATGCGCACCAGAGCAGGAGGCGGTACGTGTTGAGGGGGTTGGTGGGCGGCACCCACAGCGCGTACTTCAGAAAGAAGACGTTGAGCTCGAAAGTAAGCATGACTAATACGGGCAGCATCGCCTGCAGGAAGCGCCGCGGGCCTGGGCGCGGGCGGGGGCAAGGGATCAGAAGATGGGGCGGTGCGAAGTCACAGGCGGGCGCACGACACGGGGCGCGAGGGAGGGACGGAGGGCGGCTCGGGGAAAGGAAGATGGCTCAAAAGCGGAAGCGCGGGGGGGTGGGGCCGCAGGTGGCCGGCACTGCATTGCAACCGCTGCCGCGAGGCCGCGGGGTGGGCAGCAGCGAGGGCCGTCGCCGCCGCTGGGGAGGGAGGTGCTGAGGCGTTGTGCGTGCCCACAGTCCCATGAAGCGGCCGGCCGAGGCCCCTGCGCCGCGCTCACTCTTGAAGACCATCCACTCAAGCCGCGTCCAGGAGTAGGGCAGCAGCTGCGCCACGGACCGTCTCGCCTGGTTTTTGGGGAAGAAGGGGGCAACGGAGGGCGGGCGTCGAAGCCGTCGCGTGCGGGCGTGGCGCACGCGGCGATGACTGGGACCAAGGCTGGGGCCAAGGCGCAGGGGGGGGGGGAGGGCGTCGGCAGAACGCCTCAAGGATGTGGGCTCCCTGCCGCTGCAGCCACACGCAGGGCGGAGCAAGGAGATCGGAAGGAACGACGCTTCCGCCGCGGTCATGAAATGCAGGCCTGCAGCCGACGGCATCAAGACAGAGCTGTGCCTGCAGCCAGCGGCATCAACACAGAGCTGTGCCGGGAGCGCCAGGGCTGTGAGCGATTTGCAATCAGCGCTTTCGGCTGGTGCGCGGCTGGCTGCATAGCAAGCGGCAGGATTGAATGTATGTGCAGCCATCGTGCGATACCACATGCTGACATGCATCAATGACAACATGCAGCGGGCAGACACCTTTGCGGTGAGGGTGTCGAGCTCGCTGAGCCCCTGCCAGTTGTACCGCTTGTACTTTGAGTCCATCCAGTCCACAGTGGCCATGCCCGCCGTGATGCCTGGGTTGGGACGGGTCGCGTGTGCGTGTGTATGATGTGTGTGTGTGTGTGTTGTGTGTCATGTGTGTGTGATGTTATGTGATTTCGTGTTGTGAGGAGGCGTGTGTGTGTGTGTGCGTGCGTGCGTGCGTGCATGCGTGCGTGCGTGCGTGCGTGTGTGTGTGTGTGTGTGTGTGTGTGTGCGCGTGCGCATTGTGAGGAAGGGAGAGAGGGCAAGTGCATCGCATTAATTCCGTGATGCACTTCGAGCCAGAAACCACATTACGGGTTTCCAAAGGAGAGAAATAAGCTGTCAGAAGCTGAGGCCAGCAGCAGGTGGCACACCAAAAGGACCCCTTACTCGCGTATGGAACTAGCTTGGGGCCACGTGCATGCAGATGGCCGATTCAGCCTGACGAGGCGCACGCCGCGACACAACACAAAAGGGAATCCAGCGCACCTATGAAGTTGCAGATCGCGATGTCAAGAATGAAGCTGTCCCACCAGCACTCATTGAAGTTTGGGAGGTAGTGCTGGGGTTTTGGGTAGGAGGGAGGGTTGTGGATCGCTAGCAGGCGGGGAAGGGGGTTCTCGGGCGGGCTGGTGCGGGCCTTGGGGTGTCGGGATGAACATGAATGGTTCATATGCAGCCGCTGGCCCCCATGTCAAGAACGACAATGCCCGTGATGAGAGAAAGGACCGGAAACTGACAGGCTTTATTGATGCTCAGCTTGCACTGACTCGACTGTTGATGACGTCACCATGACATCACCAGCATGCGGATCAAGCAAACCTCCCCCCTGCGCGGGGCCCTCACACTGAAGGTGAGCTCCAATAGCTCAAACCCAATGGAGGCTGTCCACAGCAGCAGCCGGTTGCGCAGCACCAGCGCCTGCGGCAGTCCACAGGCGTGAGCATCAGGGGGGACTGCTCCATATGGGTGCGAGGGCGGTCGCCAAGACAGACAGCACGCGAGGTGCTACTGCAGCAATCAGCTGCCGGTTTCAGCACGCAAGCGGGCCGAGGAGCCTGCAACACCCACAACCGCGCCGGGTACGGCGTGCGCCTGCCGCGCCGCGCCGCACGCGAGCCGCGGTGCGGCCCGTGGCCAGACCGGAGCCCATGCGGCAAAGCAAACTTGCCGCGGCTTCTGCCAGCCCGGTTGAACGGCGCACCTTGGCCCACCAGCCCAGGGTGTGGGCAATCACAAACTCGTCCCACACCGTGCCCCTCAGCGCCTGCCAATTGACGCCGGCCCCGGGGATGTACAGCCGGCAGTCGGCCGCATAGGTGCGGTACGACACCTCCTCCCCCAGGGACGGCGACAGGTGCTGCGGGGCGGCACGGGCGATGGCGGGCGCATGGCGGCTGGCAGTTGGCCGTTGGCATGGAGCGGCAGCAGGCTCGAAGCGACTGCGCACTGGGCAGCGCAGCGGGGAAGAAAGAGCAGCCCGCGCGGCGCCACCTTGACCGGTGATCGATCTGCCCACCCCTACGACCCTCTTCTGGAAACTGAGGCGCCCCTGGCCGCCCTGTGCACCCACGCTCTTGCGATGCCCCGCCGGCCGAGATACAACGCCCCCTCAACTTCCGCTCCCGCCCCCGCCGCCCCAAAAACCCGCAGATTCCTCACCCTCAGGAACTGCCGGGCCTCGTCGACGTTTTGAAACAGCAGGAACACCAGCAGCAGGACGTAAACCACCAGCAGGCCGTGCACAAGGCGCCACACGGCGGGGTGGGGCCGCACCATTGAGGTGCGCGGGCCCTGGACGACCGAGTAGCCTGGGTTGTGTGTGTGTGTGTGTGTGTGTGTGTGTGTGTGTGTGTGTGTGTGTGCGCGCGCATGCGTGTGATTGTTCACTAGCATTTAGGGAGATGTTTTAGAGGCAAAGCGGCGGAAAAGGTGTAGTTGCTACAATAGCGAGGCTGGAGAGGAGGAAACCCATATCCGCGACCCCTCGCGGCGGCAACGCAGGGGCTCGGAGCATGGGCGGCCGTGGCGAGCCAGGCGGCGCCCACATGTGGCCAGCATGCGGGCCGTCGCGCCTGGCCCTGTTTGCCGTGCAGGGAAGGTGATTTACAAGGGGGGCAGCCCCCACCTAGGAAGACGAGGACCGCCGCCCACACGCCGTTTGCGGCGTCCGACCGAGACCACCCGCCGGCGGCCGCCGTCGCGGCGCCCAGCGGCGGCGGGGGGTCGAGGACGCGCCCAAAGTGGGCGAGCAGCACGAGTCCTGGCGAGAGCGAGTGTGCGGCGTCAAGAAGGTGATTGCAGGTTCGGTGGGCTCCAGCTCGCATGGTTTCCAGGCCGCTGACAAAGGCTGGATGTCCCATTGATGGCCCACAGGTCGCATGTCGCCGCTGCTGGCGTCGTGGGAAATAGCAAGATCAAACTTCTCACCTGCCAGAAGCATCGAGACGGTGTGCGGGGCATACAAAAAGGCGGTAGAGGGGTCGATGTGCTGCAGTGCGGGGTGCGGGTCATGCAGGTCGATGCCGCGCCGCGACGGTGACGCTGGGTCCGACATGATGCGTCTGCTGCGCCCCGAGGGTCGGCGAGCCCTCACGGATCTACTGGATGAGTGATATCAATACATCATATGCCGTCGAAGGGGCCAGATTCGACGCTGTGGCTCTTGATGATGGCTGATCTGATTGGACGTGAAGTCCGTTAGTTGCTTATCCATATTAACACTTTTCATTAGTTCCTATCATTATCAATTGTCGAGTCTAGGCGTACATGGCAGGCCGCAGGGATGGCTCGAGTGACATCTGGTGACTTGTGCGCTGCTTCCTTGCTTGCGTCCGCATCCTGGTATGTTGGTCACATTTCTTGTTGTAGATGTTATACCGTTTACATTGTGGGTTCTGCTTTCTCCTCCCGCTGCACAAGAGCTCCGAAACACTCTTGTTCAAGGACAAGGCCCGACACATCGTCCATCCTCCCGCCAATCGCCAGCCCAGGAACAGATCTCAGAACAGTAATACGCGATAATCCAGCTCGCTCGCTGTATAGTGGTGCCTGCAGCGGGGTTCGTCGCCAAGGCAGCGGTGCAGCAGCAACCGAACACCAACCCCCGACACCGGCAGCCGAATCACCTACGGCCGCCACCATGGCCACAGATGCAGCTGTCACCAACCATGGCATGGAGTAAGCATGGCGCGCGGCTGCACTGCAGGGACACGGAGCCCGGCCAGCTTTCGCCGACTTGGGAGGCGCCATGCGCGGCCGTTTGAAATGCGGCAGCCGCTGCTGACCCCACCCCGCGGCCGGCTCACCCCACCCCTCATCGCCTTTCCGCCCCTGACACCATCTGTTTGCGCAGGATGCAGGAGGGAGAGGCCATGGAGGACGAGTTCTCTGACATCCACAAGCTGCAGGAGTTTGGCATTGGCGCGGGTGCGCCGCTTTTGGAGGGAACAACACCAGGGACCCTTGGGCGGGCAGCAGGCCGAGACGCCTTCGCGTACACGGGCCATTCATTGCAGCGGCAGGGGATTGGCGCGTAGTTGTTGCCGCGGGAAAGCCTGCACAGCGCCCGGCCGGCGGTAATGGAGAGAGCATGAGGATTATGGCGGCACAATCGCGCCCATGCGCACGCGTGCGTGCATGCGCCGCATGCCCTCACCATGCGCCCCTTGTGCATTTCACCTGCACCTTGAAATGCCACACAGCAACACATGTTTTGCCCCATGTGGCGGAGGATGCCATGCCCGCATGGTCCCCCAGCCCTTCATGTCGGCGCCCACCAGCCCTTCACGTCGGCGCTCATGTGGACATGCATGCACCCCTCCACCTATCAACACCTGACACGTGCCCCGCATGGCCTTCCTCAACAGCGGAACGTGGGGAACACCGTGCAACGTTTGAGACCATGCATGCTCTTTGATCGCGTCACATCCCCTGGCCAATGCAGCTCCAATGCCGCGCCCCTCGCATGCCGCCAAATCGCGCACACACGCCCCTGCCCTGCCCGACCCCCCAGCCGACATCAAAAAAGCCAAGGAGGGCGGGTTCCACACCTGCGAGTCGCTCATCATGTTTCCGCGGAAGGTGGGGCTCGGCAGGCCACCCTCGAAGGGCTCTGGCAGCAGGGCCGAGCGCCTGCAGGCGGCACGCCAGTCGCAGCGCGAGCGGCCCGCGCTGGCCGGCGCCCCTGCACGCTTGCATGCGCGCTGTTGGCCCCGCGCATGCGGCGGCGCTCCGATGGGGGGGCGGCCGCACGGGCCCGCAAAGTCGCTGGGGCTCGCATGCTGGTCTTGCATGGGATCTTGCAAGCTGGTCTGTTCAGACCACAACAACACCACCCTCCTTTCCCACCAATGCTGACCGGCTGCGCCCGCTGCAGCGGCTACACGCGGTCAAGGGCCTGAGCGAGGCCAAGGCTGAGAAGATGCTGGAGGCGGCGCGCAAGGTCACCAGCGTGGGGGACTGGCAGACCGGCACGGACTGCATGCTTAGGGTGGGCGGGGGCCCCGCGGGCGCGGCGGGGCAGGGTGCGACAGGAGGGCAGTTTTGCGGGAGGCACGGGCTCAGGGGCCGCGACAGGGAGGCGCTGCGTGGGGTGCGCCAGGCAGTTGTAAGCTGCATGAGGGCTCGCCTCGGAGCCTGCTTCAAAAGGAGGGGTCGCCGTGCCGAGGCGGGAGGAGCACACACGTACTGGGCTCTCAGACACCGAGGCGGTTCGCATGCATGCATGCACACACACACACACACACACACACACATGCACACACACACACACACACACACACACACATACACATACACAC